CTCTAATTTTGGTGAGTATTTTTGTCATTTTTGGTAAAAAGTGATATTTTTGACTTATTGTTGAAAACCGCAAGTTCAATTGCTTCGATATTACATATCTAGGTACTACATGTGGACCTCTCTCAGATTTGTTCATTTCATAATGATATCTTCAATTCTCTAATTTTGGTGAATATTTTTGTAATTTTTGGTAAAAAGTGATATTTTCAACTTCTTGTTGAAAACCGCAAGTCCAATTGCTTTGATACTACATATATAGGTACTACATGTGGACCTCACTCAGATTTGTTCATTTTGTAATGATATCTTTAATTTTCTAATTTTGGTGAATATTTTTGGTAAAAAGTGATATTTTCGACTTCTTGTTAAAAACCTCAAGTCCAATTGCTTTGATATTACATATATAGGTACTACATGTGGACCTCTCTCAGATTTGTTCATTTCATGATGAATATTTTTGTAATTTTTGGTAAAAAGTGATATTTTCGACTTCTTCTTGAAAACCCCAAGTCCAATTATGGTACTTTGATATATTATACATATAGGTACTACATGTGGACCTCTCTCAGATTTGTTCATTTTCTAATGATATCTTCTGTTCTTTAATTGCCATGTGCATTGCTAACAGCGGAGCTATCTCAGCCGACAGGCTGCTTGTTTAATTATTTTTTGCATCCTAATGGCATTAACCAGTAATAATGAAAGCATGAAGCAGATAACATGTATTAATCTTTGATTCGGTCCAAACCTCCATAATTATTGTACATAAATAAAGAAAGGGTTAATAATTGTTCAATTCCAGTGAATTGAAGCGTGCAGCTTCATAATTACATTATATACATTTTACAAATTTCAGATAACACAATTCGTTCCTTCATCACTGCATCCATACATGGCAGTCCACCTGATGAGATACGATCGGTGTCAACTGACCCACCACCAGCTTACCACACAGTGCAGGAATCACTACTACAAGAGTTACCTCCTAGCTATGAAGAAGCTCTCAAACTACGACAACAACCTTTGATACCCTCAGATGATATGCAAACAGAATTTAACAGTGAACCAGTGTAGTTTTGCATCCTGGGTAATTATATTTTATGTACAATGTGGGCATATGTCAATTGACTGAGCCTGATTGTATGGTAATTAAGTAACGTAAGATTCTTGAATTTTGGTGAATATGTGAGGGCTTTAAGACAATGGGTTCACAGTTACACATGTATCTGTGTTGAATGCATTGTAGTGTAGATTTCATGTTACTTAACAAATATGATCATAATTGGACAAAGTATGAAACAAAATACATAATAATCCAGGCGAGACTTTTATAGTATCGTACAGTCGGTTTGTCTTATTGTGAAAATTAGAACAAAATGTTAACACAGAACGAGTCAACAGTTTATGGGAACGTTACAGATTACCCAGACACTTTTTGATGTGCATGTCAAAAACATACACCACAATGTATACCTTTGAGAAGGATTACATGTACATTTTGTTATTCAGTACTCAGTATTAAGTAAAACCAATTCTTTTAATTGGTGCCTCTATTTAAAATCACACAGCTTGTGGTTACTGATTCTCATTTTGTGTCTTGATGGCTGACAACAGAATGTTACTTGAATGTATTCAGTAATTTGGTTAGCTGTGCTGGTTACATGGTTACATGCCCACCGTTTCCTATTTGCATTATTCAGGTAGATGCACATAAGCAAATGGCTATGACAATGTATATATTTTCTAAAGGCTTCAGTACTGTCGCCATGATAACCTTCTGTCATGTTATTCAGGGACATGATTATTTGTATGTATTTCAATTTTTTTTTTTGTGCAAGATTTAAGTTTGTGTAAATAAAAATATTTTTCTATATATTTTTACTTCCGAAATGGGCTGATATGATATAAAAAATAACTGTTCTTAAAAAAAAATAACCTACATATCTATACTTCTACGGTATATGAATGTGTGTCATGTATATACATAGGAAAATAGAACACGTCTTAAGAAATATAGTTGCAAGTGAAATTTTATGGACACAATTTGCTATGAATGGCAGGTTTCTATGACAAAACATTTTATTACCGGTACATTACAAGTGAACTGTGATGAAATGTTTCCTGATCAGAAGCATCAGACACAAGACAAGATCAGATGACTGCTATGTTTGATTAATTTCTAAATCATTTGTTGATCATCTTGAGTGGACAGTAAAGGTTTCCACAGACAATTTACTTGCAACTGCGGTGGATTCAGACAACTTTCACAGTATTAATTTGAAACTTCTCATACTAAAATATATGTAGGCATGAATACATTTATCCGACCATTGACTGAAAAATTTAATTTGTTGAAATGTGTCAATTAATTGAAAAATTATTTATTACATTGTTAAGAGTTGGTTAATTTTATTAAATGTTGGTGCAGAGACACAAAAATCATTAATTTACATGATTATTATGCACAAATTAGCTCCAAAAAGATGTTTAGCATTTTTAAATCATCCAAGTTAAAGCAACTAATAAAGAATTGCATAAGCATTGAAAAGTAGGCCTCCTCCAACAAAATGTATCACTGAAAAAATGAATAGATATTCTACATGAAAGGTCAATGCTTACAAACTGTATCTCTGAACTGAATAGTTTGGACTGTTGCTCTGTGCCACCATTACAACCACTAAGCAGGCAAATATCTACCCGGTAATAACAAATATGAACAAGTGTGACGTTCTATTAAAGACAGTGGATGTACTGTGTGGGCATATAAATGTTCATGATAATGAGTTCAAATTTAAACTTTTGTATGCACTGCTTCGCTATTTACATGTTATTTGTTTACTTATGTTTTTAAGAATGTAAATTATTGTAACTTCGATTCAATTTATTCAATGTAATTTGTAAAATAAATACTTTTTAATTTCCTAACATATTTTGTGTATGTATGATATGTGTATTATCCCACTGAATTATAGTGATCAAATTATTGATACAATATCATTGGCATTTGTACAGCATTGTTTGCTCTGCTGTCATCATAGATGTCAGAGTGGGGCTGTTCATATAGGTCA